CTCTAAAACTCAATCGTACCAAAAAATTGCAATTCACTCATATATATGAGATATTCGCGTCTTATCGATATAGTAGAAGAAGCAGGAATGATGATTGTCATTGATTGTCTACATCTTTTTATATTGAAAAACAGTTAGCTGAAGGTTTATAGCAATCATCAGATATCTGTGTCGGATCATCAAAAGGATTTGTCGGCTTGACTTATAAATTTTCATAGAAAACGTGAATATACTAACAAGGAAAATAAAATAAATTTCTGTGAGGTTCTTAGCAAGTAAAGCGAAAAAAACCAAGCGTTTCTAGTATTAATTAAAGTAAGCTTCAGCAGTTTACTTAACACAACAAGGAGAAAATATGAATATACAATATGAAAAAATGTAAGAGAAGTACATTTTATTTATTATTAGTCATAACACGTTTTAAATGGTCAGAAGACAAAGTAGACTTATCCTTTGAAAGAAGCCAAGCAGCCGTTTGTTTATGTAAACATTTTTTTGTACCATTGATATTAATAACAAAGTACGATTTAGCTAAGATCGGATTAATCCAATCGAAAACTCGCATTCCGTGGAACGTCGAAGCGCTAATGTTGACGAGATTATCAGACAGGCCGTCGTCATCGTCGAATGAGTCTTCATCATCAGCATCAATTCCGGTGATTTCTTCATCTCCTTCGGAACTGCTATCGTCTGAATCTGAATCAAAATCCGAATCATATTTATCAGGACAAGAGTAATCGACTATTCGTGATTTCATAAGTTGAAGATTAGCTAATCTAGACATCTTTTCTAGTGGTAAAAGTTGATCTTGTTGATAGATATTCATACCAACTACTAGACTACATACATCGGAATATGCACGTGAAATAGTATTCTCGATCGCTTCAAATGAAAGTGATACAGTAGAAGATGATAAAGACGATATTTGTTTAGAATCAATTGTTTTTGATAGTTTGTGATGACGTGGAAATAGAAAATCGTTATTTGTATTATTGCTGTTGTTTCGACTTTTAATAGAATTTAAATAAGATAACTTCTTTACTCATCGAAGAAATTGATGAACATTAAAATTGACTATTGAGGAAAAAGGTCCTGACATGGCACGACATGAACGAACGGTACTCTCACAAGATTTTGAGTTAAATATTAGTCATATCGTTAGCTGTCGATGAATATGTTTGTTGTTGAAGTTCATGTAATGTCTGCATAAAAGTATTTGTTTGAAACAAGAGACATTCTTTCACTAGAAAATTTCCATTGCTTAAAGTAATTCCCACTTTGTTTTTCATTGATATCAGGTCGGGTGAGTCGTGACGAAAAAACGCGAACAGATCTTGTATATTAAGAAGACAGTCGGCAGAGTTGATTTCCAGATAACGTAAGATTTCAACCATGGTGGTTTCACATTGCTGTTGCACCACCTGCAAAAAATCCTCATCTCGCAGTCCGAAAATGTTATTAGGTAATGGTATAGGTATTAGAAGATTTTTACTAGAAACAATGTAAGAGATTTTAGCTAGAAATTTTTTTTATTAAAATCTAAACGATTAATTAATCGATTGAATCATATCAAACATGGAAAAATTTTAATAATAAATATTCTATAATTGTCTTTATATAAATGAATATCAAAATCTAATGAAAAATCAATTACTTTAATTTCGACAGACACATTAGCATTAAAAAATCTAATAGATACATAATAAATAAGTGTTAAAGTTTCTTATATCGTCTTGTTCTACATAACTCGAAAATAATAGCTACTTTTCAAAAGTTGATTCATATGTACAGACTAATAGCAACTCTAGAAAATAAAGAATAAAAACAATTATTTTCTGGTGAGATAAAATACCTAATTTGATCGTTTTTTTCTTCTTTGAGACATTTGAAATAGAACAAGTACGATTTTTGCCTTTGGAAGATGCAGTTGTGATTGAAATTGATTTTGATTGATGTTAAATCGATAAAGTTGATTGAGTTTGACTTTGTTCATTGTTACTAGTGCCATCATTGTCAATTAAATTTTGTTTGTTTTCAGTCATCAATAAGCACTTGCCAGATTTGAAATGTCGATAGATATTCGAAAACTAAAACAAGAAATTTTTTTAAAGTAGAAAACTCTTTAGAAAGAATCTTTATTTTCTTAAGTAGAATAACCATTACATAATCAAGGTTAATCTTCAAATTAACTGATAGATTTTGTTTCATTAAAATTTTTTTTTAATTCTTGCTAATATAGAAACAAGAAGTAGACGAAAAGGTTCTTATTAAATCTTTTTACTTTTGACATGCCAGATACACATAGAAACCGTTATAGAAATGAAGTTTTGATATGATTGAACAAGGTAATAAAGACTCAAATCTTCAAAAAAGCTTAATGCACAGAGTAAGCACACAATAAAACGAGTGTACTGACTAATTTTAAGAATTAAATAAATCAATTTCTTACCACAAGTATTCCTTGTTTTTGTCCGATAGAATTTTTTGTACCACATTTACAAATCATCATAATTCCATCTTGTCGCTTGTTTAATTCTAATCGAAAATCAACACCTTCCTTTAAATTAGTATTTACTAAGTTTAATTCATGTTTATTCTTATCAAGCCAATCAATAATAGTTCGTGTAATTCTATTTGTTATTTCATCCGTAAGAGGATTAAATGTAGTTCGAGAATTAGATGATGAAATATTCAATGAATCAGGAAGTGTAGATGCATGTGAAGAAGGAAATGTATGAGTTGAAGGATGAAATATTGATGAAGCATTTTGTGTTGGAATGATCAACGTCAAGCTTGTAGCTAATGAAATTGAAGAATTAATAGCATGAAGTCGTTCAGCTTGTTTATTGATTTCTTCTCGTTTCTTTTTAAGAACTTTTTTAAGATTAATGATTAATGATTCAGGATCTGGTAAAAGAACGACGAATCCATCACTTAATGTAATACATGTGTTTTTCTTCAGTTCATTGAATTGATCAGATTTCAATTGAAGAACAGCAGTAACATCTTCGCATCCAAGAAATGAGTCAACTCCATTGCATTCTTGAAAAGAAAGCAATTCTGCAACTTTTTTCCCAGAAAATTGTCGAATAAAATCATAAAATGCTTCGTCTCGAACATCCATAATATTTAAAGGTATAGGTTTTGTATTTACAGATTTATAAGTATGCATTATAATAGCAGTATAATTTATTAAATAAACAGCCTGTGTGAATTTCACGTGAAAGATAGGAATAAATGGAAAAAAAACGAACAAGACGCAAATATTTTTTTCGTTCTGTCTCGTATTACATTGGCGAATGAACACGAGATAGCGGAACAGAAGAATATCTAGGTTGTAAATAAACTATCTATCGCTCATTATTTTTCTCTTGAATTTGTTTCGTTTGAACGATATCTATTGCAGTAATATAATTCATCTCGACATGAGAACTAAGCGACAAGCATTTTTGTTGCTGTTAAATAACACTGTACTCGATGATTGTCAATGATTGTTAATGACTGTCAAAGGTTGTCAATGATTGTCAAAGATTGTCAATGATTTATTTGATTACAATCAGCTTTTTCTCCCTTGGTCGCGGCAGCGGCAGCGGCAGCGGCGCGACAGCGCCGCCATGGACATCTCTGTTCTCTATCTATGTTTCTTCATATGTTTATTAGAACGTCTGAACTCTTTTTTTTCTTTTCTCTGTCGGTATGTTTTTTCTTTTTGCTTTCTGTTCCAGTCACATGTTGTGTGTGGAGCAGACAAATTAAAGTAACAGTATTTATTCCATATAAAAGCTGTTGGTGAACAAAAAGCGAACAGAACGCAAGACTTTCTTTTTGACATTACGGTGCTAAAAAAAATTAAATTAGACCACAATGCTTACGACATTCTAAGATGAGAATCTATCCTTTCGTCTCGTCAGTGACATGATTGGGATTCAGAGAAAGAGAGGAGCAGAAGAAACGCAAGACAGAGAAAAGAAAAATATATTCATTTTTCTGAATGAGTCAAGTTTTTTTCATTCGTCACACATACCATAAATTTATTATTCACACGTTATTACGCTCCTTGACTGCAATGTCTTACTCATGTTGATTGTTTCAGCTGTTTGAACTAGTAGTTTTGTCAGTTTCTTGACTATTTCTACTGTTAATTTTGTCAAATTCTGGTAGGTTACAAACGAGTTGGAATATTCTTGATTTTCTTTCTATTGAATATTTGTACATTTTTAGGAAAAAGTTTGTCAGCGTAGCCTCAATGAGGCTAAAATGTGAAAGTCACGTTCGAATGCCACAGTAAAAAGAAAAAAAGAAAATTGCTACTTATGAACGTCTATAAACAGAATGAATGTATTGTGCGAAGGCAGAAAATATAATCTTTGGATTTCGTGATTTTAAATCGATTCAAAAAATTCGAATTCTTTTAAATTTGCAGCAGTATAAGAGCCGAAAACCACAATATCAACGTCTAAAAATTCGAAATTCTATGGTTCAAAAATTCATAATAGACAGCGATTTTTAGACTATAAAAAAAAAGAAACTGCCAATGTATTAAACGAAAAAAGAAACGTTTTATTTGAAATCTGATTATACAATAAAATCACTGTGATTAGAAAATCCACTTCAAGTAATGGTGTCTGTAAGAGAGAAAGTCCTCCAAACCTTGAAACAAACTTACACTGACTATTTTTTCCATACTGAGTTCTACAAAAATCCAATTATTATGATTAGAATAAGAATCATCATGTGAGTCATTTATGAACTTGTAGACAGTTCTATTGGATGAGATCTGACTAAAACTCTAGAGATAGATATTGAGACAGAGAAAGATTTGCATTAAAATGGCGATACGAAAAGATGAATAATTCAACATGGAATGATGAAAGAAAAGAATTGAAAGAGCAATTATATGTAAGGTGCACGTAATGCAGAAGTCGAGCAGAAAACGAAATTCAATCAATTATACATCAGTTGATAGAGCTTTTCGCGCTGATTCAGAATATATATCTTTCAAATTTCCAGATTTAATCTGAGCCGAGAAAATCGCAAAATAGTAAAAATTCCAGAAAACCCAAAAAAGCGGCTTTTTCACTATTCATTTCAGGATTGATGTATCTTTGATTAAAATTTTCTCAACAAAAGTATACTATCTAAATCGAGCACATAAAACTGTGCTATTCAGATGAATTTGACGAAATTTCATCGATCTTGTGACTTTTGGTTGGCTTACCAAGACCTACCTAGTATACTATCGACAGCTTTACATTGTAAACCTATCTCCTTTTTTTCTGTAAGAGCTAAAATGATTTTTTTTCACCATTCGAACCATTAGATCGATAAGAAAAAAGTTACGTATGCTCATAATCCGGAGTTTTACTGTTGTTAAGAAAATTCATGTTTCCTGCAACGCATGGTAAAATATGGCAAAAACCACCCGAAAATAGGACTTTTTTTGGATATTCATTTCGAAAGAATTGTTTTCATACAAAACAAATATGATATTCGGAATCAGCGCAAAAAATTACGTTGAATAAGCTATATTTTGTCAGAAAATGACTTCCGCCGAATTTTTATCTGTGCTCCACCTCAGCTGTGTTTTTCCTCAAGGTTGTCCTGAAGAGGGGTACAGGTGAGATTTTGACGGAAACCATTTTCTGACAAAATATAGCTTATTCAACGTAACTGTTTTCTTATCGATCTAATGGTTCGAATGGTGAAAAAACAATCATTTTAGCTCTTACAGAAAAAAAGGAGATAGATTTACAAGGTAAGGCCCTCGATAAAGTCCAAGGTGGGTCTTGGAAATCCAACCAAAAGTCACAAGATCGATGAAATTTCGTCAAACCCATTTGAATACCACAGTTTTATGTGCTCGATTTGGATAAAATACTTTCGTTGAAAAAGTCTAAGTTAAGATAGATTAATCGTGGAATTTATAGTGAAAAAGCATCTTCTTTGGGTTTTCTGAAAATCTTTGTATTTTGCATTTTTCTGGGCTCAGGTAAGGTCTATAAACTTGAAAAACATATATCCTGAACCAGCGCGAAAAGCTCTATCGACTGATGTATAATTCATCTACATTTGTTTTCTGCTCGAATTTTGCATTACGCGCACCTTACAAATGGCCAAATAATAGCTATGGTGGAAATCGCCATAGTGATTATGGTACTAGTGATGATAGTAAAAGCATGATCAAAAAATCGACTTGGTAATTATGGTACAAATGATCATACGATAATAACAATTTATTTTTATAAATCATGTGATATATAAATAAACGAAATAAAATTCATTTTTTTGTGCAAACAGCGCCAATAGATAACTAAAAATGATAAAAATACACTAATATTTATTATTTGAAAGATGAACAACGATATGAATGCAAACAAATCGTCGCATAAACGTAGTTTCTTCTTTGATACTCGAGAGGAACGATTACAACAACTGTGCATGATCTTAATTATGTAATGTAATCTCAGAGGATAAAAATTATGAGTAAATTTTTATTAAGTCAGTAACTTTTTCGAAAAGCTATTTGATTATCCCTTTTGATCAACATACTGATATGCTTGAAACTTGTTACAAGTTTATAAGAAACTGTGTTTGCTTGAGGTTTAAACCTGATATGAAGTTTTGTATAATTTCTGACGAAATTTTCACGAAAGAATATATCAGAAAAAAATAAATAGATGTATCTTATGCTTATTTTGCCAGGGATTGGAAATGCATTCATTAGAGTGAAGTATTGGTAGACGAAGATTTTTTAGAATATGTCACTCTTCTAATATAGCTATAATATTGACGTCAAACTGGTTTGCTGATGTACATTTAACGTGTTTTTGTCCTGCATTTTGCCCGTCAGATGGCATTGTATTATCCATAATTGTAGAAATAAAGGGCTCTCCGTCGTTAATATCGATAAATGATGTTTGCAAAAAATGAGTTGAGCCAATGCGTTTGAGCATAATGATGTGCAAATAAAAAATTATATTTATTATGAATAACAATTGTCTATTTTAATCTATATTAGCGCGTGCTAGATTTATCTAATTTCAAAAATTCAATTAGCTCATTTTTGCAAATTTTTCTAATTATATTAAATGAAAAATCCTTTTCTAACAATCATTTTTACATAAATCAACCATTCACAAGGATAGATTCTGTCACACATAGACTTTTACAAATCCCATTTATCTTGCCTTGCATCTTTCCTCGTTAAAAAAAATCACTTTCATATTTTCTTTTTATATTTTAATGTGCATAGCTGGTCATCATTAATTCTATTTGAGATAAAGAAAGTATGATAGTTCAGGAAAACGTAATAAACTCTTTATTCAAACGTGACTATCATGACCTTCACTAAATCATTATACAGAATGGTGCAAAAGTTATCCACCATCGGTGAGTTGCAGATAAGTCTTGATCTCTGTAACGTGCTCGTTTAAAATTCAACATTTTTGTCCAATAAATATTTATTAACAAGGACAGCTGCTCTCCTTGAATAAGCCTTTGCTTCCAGTAATTACAGGGTTTTCAATGCACCGATTACAGAGATCGACAGTTATCTCCAATATACAGGTGTTGGATAACTTTTAGATCACCCGTATATAAACAATAAAATCGAACCAGTTTATTAATTTAATCGAAACTATTTTCTTATAAAAACCAACTAACTAATAATCAATCCACTGGCTTTAATATCAATATTATAAGATGTTGTACTCCTCGCATCTACTTTTAATAAAATATGTATTCTTAATAGAACAAATCAATCAATAAATTCGCCAACTCATCATTTTACCAGTATTTTCGTTTCTTTTCCCGTTAACAAAAACTTAAAAATCGTCCCCAGGTCATAGTTGTTAATTTCAAATTAATATTCCACATAGTCAATCGTTACGAATTCTCGTTTACATGTACAAAGAAGTATGTCCGCATCAGTATTCTCTTTTCAGTCTAGGGCCAAGTGAATCGATTCTTGATGAACGTTACTTGTCATTATATTCTTACATTTTTATTTTTATTATTATAAAGAAAGAAAAGGGAAGACGGCATTGAATTGAATGTCATTTGAAAAGCTGTCATGAGTACTCAAAGCTCATATAAAATACATTCGATTAGGGATTATTCTCTACCTACAACTAAACTAATTTTGTCGCACCTCAAAAATTATGAAACACCCTG